ACGAGTGTTATCACTATGTCGGAGACACGCTAACGTTCCCAAGGCAGACGAACTTAGAGTGGTTACAATCATCCGGGTTTAAATTGCGCTCAAATTGATTTGATTTTGACGCAATATTTACACTGAAGCTCGCAGGCGGCTATGGTAAGGGACATGACATTTCCCGACCAGGCGCCGAGTGCTGCCAATCACAGCACACACTGGCCCAGCTAACCAATCACAGCACATTTCGTATTTCAGAAGTTGGGCCTTCATTTGATACAGGAACTATTCGAGCCGTTCATGCCAGACTGGGGAGAGAGGTGTTGTAATAATGTAAAATATGTGAAAAATAATGTGTTTTTCGAAAAACCTAGTATGAGAGCCTGTTCTAGTACACCCCCAAAACAAAATCAAGACTTTGAAAAATAGCATAATAGGACCCCTTTAAGCATACTTAACTTGGGCGTAAACAACACGCATAAAATACTGTCAAACCACATGGATAAACACATTTACATATGACTTTGAACTTCCTCTCACTTACAAACTCTCACATGTACGTCTATACACTTGTTTACCTAGCCTAAAGGCCTTTTATTGTTCTTTACTTCAGCTAACTATAATATTGTAATCCTGACATTTAAAAAAAAAACTTTTATAGACGTGAATAAAGATTTACTCCTTTTAAGAACTTTTTCCTTTTAAAGTTGTCACCAAAAGAGTATTTTCTTCTATTTTGATGTCAAAAGTTTATCTAGGTCATTAGCATGCTGAAACTCCAGACCTTAGTCATCCTTGAGAGGAAGATCCGAAGCGTCTGCTTGCTCTGTTTTGGATTCTTCATCACTGAGAAAATCCTCTTGCACAGCATCAAGGGATCTTGCTTGGTTAATTACTAGAGGGGAAGCATTGTAGGAGAGAGAGATCACTTTACAGGCGCGGTGGCTTGTGCAACGCGATGCGCCTGTTCATTTTTCAACAAGGTGTAGAGCAGATGTGTTCGGAAACTCTCGAATCTTGTGAAGATGATTCCCATCAGAACAGCTTTAAGATGACTCCACGGCTTTCTGACTGAATCGTGTTTGATTTGGGTGCGTCAGAGGTCAGGGACAGTTTGGGTCACGCTGCATGTCTTCCGCTTAGTCACACATACAGAAGATTGAAGTCGCTCATTTGTTTAAAACCCTGTGTCTTCCTCGGAGTCTCAGAGATATTTTGAGCTGAGCTTGTCATCACTTGACTTTATAGCCCAGAAGAGGCGTGGTGTGTCAAAAGAGGATGGTTTGAGAAATCAAGTACGATTTCCTGTCATAATCCACCCTGTCATGTGCACCGCAATCTTACTTAAATATGACCATCGAAAACTGCTCAACTCCAACTCCCACAGTCATTGTGACACCGACCACAGGCCTCGGCAGCCCTTAATGTTTGTGTGATGCACTGAGATACAGTATTACCACTGTTTTTCCTGAGTAATGTTTTGCAATTTATGACTCAAGCTGTAATTCTCATTAACAAAGTCATTGCAGCAGATAAAGGTCGTACTATAAAGGTCGCAAATAATGCCAGACCATTACGTTTTTCCCCTTCTTATCTGCTCGTACACTATTCTAATCTATCAAGACCCCCTATTTGAATTATTATGGGGATAGTTAACTCAAAAATGAAAATTCTCTGTTGAGAAGGCCCGTTCACACCAAGAATGATAATATATATTAACTATATTAGCTATAATAACCATATTAGTGTCCACACAAATGGACAATAATGTTAGTTCAGTCCTGCAAGTAGCAGAAATGTACTTTGCTAACTGCTATTAAAATGGCCAGAAAAGAAAGTCAGATTACCACTATCTACTGGAGTGTGAAGCATTTTTTATCACCTGGCAGTTGTTAAAGGGGACATCGAAATTTTCACTTTTTTTTTTTTTTTCCCCTCACTGTCTTTTTTTTTCCCACTGTCTGCCAGCCCAGAAAAGCTGAAAAGAAAACATGCAGTCAGTTCGTTATGGGCTCTCTGAGGCTGAAACTGTGTCATCCAGCCAGCTGTTTCAGTTTCCAGCTGATTTCTACATAAATAGCTAGCTATTTGAGTAAGACCACCTCCGAGCCATGTGCGGATATATTCATGTCTTGTGTCGACACTCCCCACGGAAGAGAGGTGTGGGGTGAGCGGTAGCTCATTATCATTTAAAGAGACATGCACCGAAACGGTTCACTGTGAACAGCTGTTTTGACAAGGTAAAAAGGGTGTTGTTTTACACGACCATTGAGGAATTTTAACCAAAGTATGTAACAGACATTTCGTAGAGACCCTAAATACCAACCATACCAACTTGTGGAAAATGGGCATCCAATGTCCCCTTTAAAAGGGGACAAACATTTTGTAGACTCACACTAAAGGATCATTTTCTTCAAATGTTTTGGTTAATATCAAATAATAGCAGCTGCAAGAAAACTATCTTGGGTCTTCTTGTGTTAAATAAAATATTGTGGGTTTATAATGAAATTACTCCTGCAGAAATGCGCGTGCACACATTCAATCCCTCACATCTATTTCCAATCCAGAACATGATCCAGAATGGCCCTGAATGCTGCAATAAAGATGATTTCACAGCGATGTCTCATTCCCACAAACCCAGATTCCTCTGCTTCTGTGATGTAAGCCTGTAAATCCCTGGCGACTGAGGACTTCATTGACAACCAAAAGCATATGTGGAGTGCATATGTGAAGATCTAATCAGACTTTTCCCTGAGAAAATGTGTGTTTCTGTTAAAAAGAGACTAATTCACACTGTTGTTAAGACGGACATAGATAGTCAATTTGACCCAATCAACCGCTGTTGTTTTTGTTACTTCTAGGCTTTGTTGGTCTTATTTCAGCTACCAACTGGGAGTCACTAATAGTGTATATGAACCATATGTGAAGAAGAATGAGATCTTCAGAGGTTACATTCACCTTTATATTTGCTTTCGCACTTCTGTGCTGAATCCATTCTCGACTGACACATACACTGATACGTCTGTTTAAAAGATGTTTTCCATTTATACAGCATATTCCCATTTGATAGAGCATCTTATTCTGTCACCCTCACATTTCTCACTCATTTTATGTTTTCCACACAATTCTACTCTCCCTCCTTCTCCGTCTCCCATTCCCTCTATACTTTGCCAATGAAAATGGAAAGCATAGCATTCGATGACAGCTGAGGATTTGTTCTTCAGCACGGAGCTGCTGGCACTGATCTGTTGCTGAGAGGGAGTGCAGTGGGCTGGGGCAGTTCTCAGTCTCAGATACCCTCGTGTCTATTGCATTAGATGTGAGTAAGTGGTAATCTCTTTTATCAGAGCGTGGTCACACAGTCAGTCTGGCTCCAGATTCAGCCATCTTGCCCACTAAATCCCAGCATGTTGGATCTGATATGGGCCTCCTGTTTTCCCCTGTAAACTCATTGCTCTGTGGTCTCAAGCCTGGCTGGAATGAGGGAAATGAAACGGACAGATGTTTGGAATTTTTTTACACATATCCATGACTCCAAGTCTTGATGATTGACTCATCTGACAACTGACTAGTCAGTTAATGAGGTTGACTAGGTAATTTTAGATTTTTTTTCATGTATATAATGTAATTATTTTCGATTTCAGCTTATATGTTAAAATATATGCAGTGTATTTATATATATGATCATGTAATGGAAGTACAGTTTCTCACGGTTGCCTCAAGTGGCACTATACCGAGTGTTATCATAAACTCTCAGTTTTTTTCTTTTAGATCAAGAATACTTTGAAGAGATTCTTATGGAGCAAACTATTTTAAACTAGTTATAAACTCTTTAATAGCTGGCTATGTGAATAACAACACATCTGGTTTAAAGCTGAGGTGTGTGTTGCACCACTAGCATCACCAAGCAAAATTGCAAAGACATTTTCAAAACAGTCTGCCATTGGTTGGCCACACAGATGACTCCACCCCAAAGCGATGCCATTGGTTTGTACTATGGTCAGGAATTTCAAACAAACAATGTTTTGATATCGCTATCAAAACATTGTTTGAAATTCCTGACCATAGTAAAAACAAATAGCATCGCTTTGGGGTGGAGTTATCTGTGTGGTCAACCAATGGCAGACTGTTTTGAAAATGTGATAGTGTTTATGCATTTATCACTGTGTTTATCAGTCGACCAGTGAAGGGCTGGCTTAGTTAGGTTTGTTACCGCCACAACACTACGAGTTCACGTAAAGCTTTTGCAAATCACACTTGCAGTGCATGGACCATGCATTCATAACTTTTGTGCACATAAAGTGTTTTTCTGACCCAAGCCCTTGCACATTCACATACTATGTCTCTGTAAGTAATTTTATTACTCTAAGTGTTGCACGAGACGGCTGAGGAGTGAGAGAGACAGAACGACCCAAGAGACGGGGTGTGGAGCAGTTCACATCTGTCTATGTGGGTGTCGTTTATCTGAGATCTGTGTCAACCCCACCACACCGCTCTTGTTCCACTCTCTTCTTGCAAAGGAGGAAATGGCATGAATGCACAACTACGTGACCTCAAACCAAACACCTTCATTGGGCAGCGCACCCTTACGTGTCAAATGATTGATTATCTTTTTGAGTTGTGATAAACCCAAAAGCTGAAGTTGACACATAATTGTGATGTCAAAGGAAACTTTACATTCTAATTAATGAGTGGGCAGGAGTCTTGAGGGTGCAGTTCAGATTAGATACTCTGCTTTATAGCAATTTCACGCTGGTGGCCTTTTGATAGCTCAGAACTTGAGGGCCGACCACAGGTCTAAATCCCTTTTGTTGGTTGATTGACTACGGCTCTCAGCTTCAGGTTATGCATTGAAGTGCTACAGTGTACTTTTCATGAACTTCTTTTTTGTGTTAAAAGTTTAATAGAGAGTCAACTAAATAAAACCGTATTGATTTTCCTTTGAGTAGCTTAGCTGCTTGTATGAAATTCTGACTGACAAAATGTAGACTTATCTTTTTCTCCTGTTTCTTCTTCAGGTAGTTAGCGGACACACTGCACAATGCGTGAATACAAGTTAGTCGTCCTCGGATCAGGAGGTGTCGGCAAGTCTGCGCTGGTAAGTGGCTGCCAACTTTCCCTGCCTCCTTCCTTTATCCCTCTTTTTCATGCCGTTTCGTTCTCTACATAAATACAATTTTCATGTTTGTTTATCTTTCATAAAGATCTTATAGTCTGGTTCTAGACCACAAATATTATAAGTGCTGCTTGCTGAGGTTTTTCCATTACAGTTTCCTTGTGATGGACAAGTAACGCCAATTCATCAACAAGCATCTCAAATTCAAGTGATTCAGTCAGGGGTGTCGGAATATTAACGATAGCCATTAAATTTTAAAATGAAATACTGATATTGTGTTAATACTACACATATGATAATATCATAAATAATCCAGTGGCTGTAACTATATTGTTGACATTTCAACATAGTAGGTGACAGTGCAGCAACTTAATGCCAGTTGGCACTGGAAAAGAGACGATGACCCGGTGTGTAGTTAGAAATCATGTCAGTGATGATGATACAAGCAAAACACACTGGTTAACCCTGAAAAAAGTTTGCTCATCAGTGTGGGAGTTTTTTAGATTCCATAAAAAAAGACAGGGTGATAGACATCCCTGTCTGCAGGAAGTGCTGATCAACAGTAACTCCTTTTTGTACGTTTTTGTACAGTTATAGTTACTCTCTCTCTCTAAACTTCACTCATTTTTTGAGTGTGATTCATTGGCTAAAAAAGAGAAAACACGAAATAAAGTCAAAGATGAGTTTGACTATTTGACAGTTTTAGTTTACTACACACTACTGTGTAGCCTCTGCCACCTCAATATATTAGTACATGAACACATGAACATAATCTCTAGAGCTGCTCTGAGAGTCACTTCATAAGCATTTTACATGTTATTTTGAGAAAAACTATCTGTCATATCATATACAAACAGAAACTTAAAGGTTTTCACAGCAACCCGTCAAAATAACAGTTCGGTTTAACTTGAAGAAACTGTGACAGAAATATATTGCTTAATGTAATGATAGTACTACTACTAATAATAAAATTATTATTAAAGCATTATTTTTAAGGAATATTTATCAAGAAAATTATTTACCAGAAAAATGTAAATACACAGCACAGTATTTCTGAAAAAATAAATAAATAAAATAATAATATATTTTTTTATCAATTGCTGTTAAATTGTGTACGTTTCATGATTTCAATTAATTTTGGATTAATATTTTTTAATTTAACTATTAAAACAGAGTCTAGAAAAATTAAAATGGAAAAAAAGGAATCCAGAAAAATTCAAACGGAAAAAAAAAACGAAATTTGGAAAAAAATGAAACGGAATTTGAGAAAAAATAAAACTGATTTCATAGGGCCCTACATTTTTGTAACAAATAATTTGTCTTTCCTTTTATGGCATCGTCATTTTAGGAATCCCCCTCAACATATATAACAAATTACATCCTATATTGGGAAAAAACATAAATCGTCTAAGTGTAGAGAAACTGGTTTCCCCATTTGAAAGAGCCGCTGCTCTGCTCCGTCCAGCCATGTAGCATCTCTGGAGAACATCGGTCCCCAGTCAGGTCGATAAAGGTTGTGAGAACCAAACTGGCCTGTGGTCGGTTGCGGTGCCCTTTCTGAGCCACTCAAACACCACATAGCTGAGTCATTGATACAGCGAAATGACTGTGCCTCAGTGCATTGGCATTTGCTATTCAGTCAGCATAATATATGTCAGAATAGCATTTTGAAACCACAAGTAGTTCGGCAGCTCTTCTTCAAAAAATACAGTGGGTCAGAACGAAAAAACCCTGTGGAAAATTTCTGCTGCATGCTATTAGCTTTAAGTTTCCACATTTACCCTGAAGTTTAAAAACAGAGCGGTTTCTTTATGAATTGTATCTTATGATTGAGGTCACTGTTAGCTTCCTTAGCTCATTAGGACACTAGTACTCCGCATGTAATACCGTACGTCCCGCTGACACCACTTTGACCTAATTTGTTCCATCCCAGTGAACTCAAATGGCTCACCCATTGGAGAGCAGCCACAATGGCCCGACCCACTCACCTCAGGGCTCAACAAAGAGCCCATTGGCTGTATGTGTGCCACAGGGTGTGAGAACCGTCCGCCTCCATCCTCTTCCCTCTCAGCCTAGACTTTTATTGTCCATTAACTCTAATTGGGCCACTATGGATGGGTCTGGATGAAATGGCCATGCAGAGTTAATCGTGTTGTAAGTGCATTCACATTAAGCTCCTGTCCTGCTCCATGCAGACAGGGGGAAAGAGACAGGTCTGTAAAATTAGATCATTACTGTGGGGTCAGCCTGGTGTCCTGTAATAGAGCTGTATAGACTGCAACAATGGCCAGCCACTTTATAAGTGGCCCCGCAAATCTTCCGAAAAGACAAATAAATGACTTACCGGAATGAATGAACTACTTGTCTTTTAAGGAACGGTACATTATGTTCAAATCAGTTTTTTTTTTTTCAGTAATCATCACTGTTGTATTGAATGAGCTGACGCTAAATTAAAACAATCTAGCAAAACATTGCTATTCACTTGAGTTTGAGTTTGTTCAACTAGATGCACACAGTAACACTGACTCAACCAATGCTGTGAGTTTGAGGTGGGACTTCCTGTTGGGCCAACCAATGGCAGGTGGGGAAGTGTTCAGGGAACCTGCATGAATTCTGATGGTGACACCAGGGGCTCATATTTTAAGGTCAATATCATGACACTTCTTTTTTTCTTGTCTTTTTTTCATTGACTCGATCTGTCTACTTTGAGGAACTGTCGCATCACCAGGCAACACCCTGTAAGTTTATCTGTCAGATGAGTTGCGGTAGTCCAGGGGGAGTATAGAGAATCGGACAGGAGCAAAAGGGTCAGCTTGAGCTGTAATGATGGATTACCAGAGCTAACACAGAGAGCCCATCTGCCTGCAGGCAGGAGCGGATCCACTCAGATGGCCATTGTGCTGCTGACTTCTGTGTGCCTGAGTTAGACTGCACATGCTAATGTGTTGTTGCTCATCAATGGCCTAAAAACAAAAGCCACCGTTCACCTCAAATCTCATTCGCATTTCAAACTTAAAATCAGAGGCACGGTTTTCAAACTAGGTTCAGCGGCTCGCAAGCGGGTGCTAGGTGGTCTATGGATAATTTGAGAGAAAAGAAAAATATTTTACAACATTTTTCTGGGCTATTAAAGTTAACGTGCCAACTTAAGATACGCTAACGTTCAAAACTGAGGTCAGTTAGGTTTCGTTTTTAATTTTTTTGGTAAACTTTTATTCAGCAAGGAAGCATTAAATTAAAAAAATGATTAAATTAAATCAAAAATTATATTAAAGATATGTATAATGGTGCAAAAAATAAAATATATTAAAAAAAATAAATCTTACAAATAAGTCTTACAGAACGGTAGTGCGTTTAACAGTTATTTTTAACAATACATTTTTTTTCTAAGTTGGTTTGGAAGGATTTATTGTGAAGTGGTTTACAAATAGATTTGAATTAAATTGAAAGTGTCTTAATACTATGTTTATACATCTAACATTTACTCTGATAGTGGCTTGAAAGTAAAGTAGTCATTTTTAATTTAATAATAATTATTAAACAAAATGCAATATTTTTCTTACACACTATGTACGAGTCTTTATACCATCATCTCCACAATATTTGTTGCTTTCACTTGAAGTGACTGCTGGGATATCAGGATGCTGAGCGTGCCTGTGTGCATTTGATCTAATCGCTGAGAGCAGAGCAACACACACATTCCTCTCGTTCACACATCCTCACTGCTCTTTGTTGGAACATTGTAATCAATGGCCTCCACTGAATTTACATGCCTTGTTTCCACATCTCTCTCCATATATGGAATATTTTCTGTGTGTGTGTGTGTGGAGTAGGTCGTAGTTCAGAGCTGCTGTAAGGAACGGAGCCAGGAAGAGTGTGTGTGTGTGTGTGTGTGTGTGTGTGCATTAGAGAGGCACTAGTGTAAACCAGCCAGAGAGAATGAGGAGCATAGCTGCAGGATAAAAGACTTCAGAGCATATGTGCCAGCTGACACTTGTGCACATGGTCTGGTCTGTCTCAAGCACATCAGTTCAACTCCGCTGCATCAGCACACATCACCTCTCCGGGGCCGCTCACAAACCCTGGGTGTCCTCACTGCTGACTTCATGCCCTAACCCGCTTCTGAAACAGGCACACATGCACAATGTGGCCCAGCAACAGCCTTGAGGTGCATAGGGCTGATGAAGTGTGAGGAAGATAACAGGAATAGTAAGAGGTGGTTCACTGCATATGCAGAGATGATATAACTGCCACTGGGATTCTCAGATTGAATCCTCGGTTTGCAAAAATCATTCTTCGTGGATTTATAGCGAAGCAGAAAACGAGTGAAGCAACATACTCTTGAGTAAAGAGAACAAGGTGTTTGTGTGTTTCCACATGCAGACATCCGTCTTTGACATTCACTGCTGAGACATGCTTGCACGTAGTTCATCCAAAAATGATAATCGGCATCATTTTTTTTCACCACTTTTTAAAATGTGAAAGTATTTAATTTTTACACGTTTAAATTAATTAATTTATTCATTCATTGACATAGCACATGACATTTTACAACCTGAACTAACCTTGCCTTAAGAGAATTTTAAGAGACTTCTTGACTTATTGAGGGCTTTTAGAAGTCTTCTTTATGATATAATTTTCTGTTTTACTTTTTTTTTTTTTACACACGTGTCTGCATGTTGGTTGCACCACATGACCTTGATATTGCAGGCAAATGTTTTTTCAAATATTAATAAGCAGTGAAGCCATTGTTTTTGTAAGAAATAGTAATAAAATATTATGCTAAACTACCAAGTTTGTTATATAATATAAATGAATGGTGTTTTAATGGTATTTTCTTTATAATAAGGACAGTTGTCAGCTTTTTTATATTTATACCACCTCCCCACACCCCAATAAAAATGTCAAAATTAATTTTTAATTCAGAAATTAAAAGCATTCTCATCCTGTAAGAGGTATATTCAATTCATTGTACGTATATGTGTTTTAATTTTTATGTATGCATTTATGTCCAGTATGCACTCATTTATTTATTTATTGCTATTTCTATATTTTGCTTATCAATTTATCTTTTTACTTATTTTTGAAATGAATCGATAGATCCAGACACACACACACACACACACACACACACACACACACACACAAAATGAACGTCTTGACAGAATATTCATTTTGGGTGAACTATCCTTTTAAGATCCTCTCTAATCTTTTCTATTAACTAGTCTCATCTCAACAGACTTCTACAAGAGACAGCATTAGCTGCCCATAATTTCACAGCACACAGGCACTAATCTAAATTCATGATTATTTCTTCACTCATCAAGGCTCTTGTTTATTTAGCTTGATTCTTTTTATTCACACAGAGGCATTAGGTAAACAAATGATCTCGCGTTCACCAGGACAAAGCCTGCTGTATGTGACGAGTGCTCATAAAATGAGATCGCTCGTACCTCGTGACTGACATCACCTGCCTTTGCTCAGTCTTCTCCTCGCCCTCTCATCAGGCTATTGTCTTCCTCTCACAGTTGATCAGCATCTTAATGGTTTTCTGTTGTTTACGCCTGTATGTGGATCCCTGTCCAAACAGAGCTCTCATTAATGAATCTAGGCTGGGTGAAGTGCGAATCAAAGAGGATGATCAAAGGTCACCCGAGCTATGGAGGCCCTGAAGCCCCCGCACCTGTGGGCAGCGTCACATGATTTTCATACTCTCCGCCGCCCCTGCACTTCCTATGAAGTCACTGCGGAGCCGATCGCCTTTAATTCGGCCTTTTGTTTCCACACAATTGTTCTTCAACCCCCTGCAATGTTCTCCCAACCCCTGGTTGTCATCTATAAATCTTTCTATATTTACAGTGGTAGTTAACTGCTAGGTAACCGGTATCCCGGCAACATCGGAATGCTTTCTGATCCTTGACCAGCGAGTGCAGGTTTCACTCTGGTCTTTTTCTATGTGAAGTGGCCATTGCCCTTTTCGTATGAGCACCTACATGGTTTTCAGGGCAAGGAGAGCGATAATGACATGCAGTGGCTTGTTTATTCCCTTTGAAAGCCTTTCAAATGGAATTCCCCGTCAGCCACTGGAAGTGAAAGTCATTTTGCACTGTGTCAACATGCTCGTGTTTGAGTATCGTAACATTTAATGGACATGGTCTTTTCTCTTTGTTTTTCCCTCTCGTCCTTCTCTCCCGCTCTCCAGACTGTTCAGTTTGTCCAAGGGATCTTTGTGGAAAAGTATGACCCCACAATAGAAGACTCATACAGAAAGGCAAGTTCTGCATAATTTTTATTGTGCATAAGTTGTCAAACCAATGTCTTTTTAATGGTTTCCAGACTCAAAACCCAATGTATTGTTTTCTGACCTTTTCCTAGCCCAGCACATTCTGTACAGTAACACATGAAATGGACTTATCCAAATATAGTCTGTATATATTTTTTGTAGGACCCATACTGCTTTTATAATCGAGTGAATTAAATACCTCATATCATTTATTCTGACTGAAAAAAGTAAAGAAGTACTAGAGACTATGATTTGACATCTCACATTTGCTACCTCTTATATCTCACAATGTGTAAATGTTTTCTGTTACGACCAATAAAGTCATTTTATATCCCACAATTGCAATTGTGACATTATACTCTGTGACTTTATATCTAGGTGCGGTCACATTATTGAAGTTTCTGCAAAATTTCACAGACAAAAAAAGAGCCGTTGTCTATTGTTAATATTGCAATGCTGTTTAAAGCACAGCTCACACAGAGGTAGTTTTAAACCAAGCAGTTTTCTGTTGGTCAACGCGGCAACCAACTTGAGCCAGTTATGAAACCTACGTGGAAAAACCTTCACATGAAATAAACAGCAATATACAGCTGCACATCAGTTCAATTCTATATTTATGTCCCAAATTGTTAAACAACCTTCAGTTACACAAGACCCAAATGGTGCAGCGCTTTGCAGGAAAACTAAATGGCTCCCATTATAATCAATGAAGCTGTCTATAATCAATGAACTGGAAACGCCCATCTGTGACACAGTCTGCTGTGTATAATATAGATTTCTGCTTATGTCAGATTTTTTAAAAATTGCAGTGCGGGTATATCATGACAGAATCTCTACCAGTTGACACATTTCTACAGGATGCACACCGTCCCGCCCCAGTAGCACACGTCAAAGAAAAAGCTGTGTGTGCGTTTGTGGGATGTCTAATCGACCCTGCGCTCAGACTGCTGTGTTCGATGATGTTTATATTTTAATGGCCCTTGTCCAAAGCCTTGAGACAAAGGCCGTGTCTAAAAATGAACCTTCACTCAAACAGTAAAAGGAAGCCCCATCTTGACCAGCACCTCCATTCCTCGCTGTTGCTTATGCTGCTGTCCCATGGGCACCTCCTGTAGGCGAGGCTTACCGGTGTTGACATACAGTACCACATGTTATTAGTGCAGATTTTATTCCCTGCTTATACAGAGGCCCCATATACAGTATATTTGATCATTTTTAAATGCTTAAGTTGCACTTAATATTGAATTTCACTTACATTTTTTACATATTGCTTATGTGTTCAAATACTTTCTGGGTCCCACTGTATGCAAACTGGAGAACCATTATTTTTATAATTAGAAAAAATCTGTACATGAAAGCACATATAACCATTTTGCTACTCATATGATGTCACAAAAATGAAGGTAAAATGGTGTTGCAGTCTGAAAGTGTCATAGTCTTTGTGCCATAAAGGCTGTTTTTTGATGCCAGTCAGTTTGTTGTTGATTTTCTGTTGTTTCTCTGTCTTTGCAGCAAGTGGAGGTGGATGGACAGCAGTGTATGTTGGAAATTCTGGATACTGCCGGAACGGTAAGACAGTTTGTGATCATAACTTTGTTTAATAACTTACGGATTACAATAATACATGCATCTATGTATTTTAAAGATTCAATGATTTTTCAAGTCAGTCATGCTATTACATGCAACTGGTGTTTAAATGTCCCCTGACGTCACAGCCAAGATAAAATCTTGTATGGTAGCTGCCAGCATCAGTCATCCGTGTTAACTTCTAACCATCAACCTGGAGATTAAATGGATGGTTTGAATTCAATGGCATTAAAACCTTAGAAGTAACAAATCGGACGTTCAAAAACATTTTCAAATCAGATTTTTTTTGTTGTTGTTGAAAATTTCTCACAATGTAAATCAATCACATTTGTTGAGCGGAGAGCTGTGCTGATTGTGTGTCTTGACCGTAGCACAGCTAAGTGTGTTGCATTTGCCCCGGTCTCCCCCTACTGTAAGTTAAATGATGCATGTGCATCCTCGTGGTCATCCTCGTCTCATACAGGTGCAGGAGGTTAGAGAGCGATTTCAGCCCCTATGGGGGATAAGGACATATTTCCAGTTCCACAAGCCCCTGTTTTACAACTCTGAGTTGTGGTGACAGATGGTGAATGTTGTCCTTGGGCTCCCTGCCCCAGAATGGAACCATGGTCAAATGAAACGGAGCCAAAAAAGCTGAGAATATTCCTGTCAGAGTTGTGAACTACAAATTGACTACAGTTTTTGTACAGTAGGACTGGCACTTGCTCTGAAATGGTCAACGTATTATTCAATCTAGTGCTAGTTGCAAAAAAGGAGACTCCGAAACATAATCTTAATTGAATCCTGAAACTGGGTGAGTTGAAACCACAAAGTCAATGACTTGTTGTGTAATGTTGAACAAACTGCAAATGGCATACACAAGTATTAAGTCTGTTAAAGGGATAGTTAAAATGAACATTCATTCACCTTCATATTGTTCTGAGCCTATATGACTTTGTTTAATCTATGGAACACAAAAGCAGATGTTTCGAAGAATGTTTATGCTGCTCTTTTTCTTGTAATCAAAGTCAATTGTGACCAGCAGCTTTCGATCTCCAAAAAGGATCAAAACATTCTTAAAATATCTTCATGGAAGAAAGAAAGACTATGCGATTCTTTGAGTTTGTTTGTGTGGATTTCTCCCCCACAGATCCTGAGCTCGTGCCCACTCACTAGCACGTTTAATGAGACACTGTTGTGTCCTCTGGAGAGAAAAATCATTATTTCTCCTCCATATCCTTCCTTTACTAGACATATCACACGTTACCTTTGACAGCCATCTTCATTCTCCACGGGTTTTAGAAGCTCTGACCACATTCAACACACTACTATACAAAGTTATACTACGGATGTGCTCTGGCCTTATTAACTTCACACCTTATCAGTTCACTTGACGTTCAGCTCATGCAGGACAAGAACTGTCTATCTGAGCCAAAGTTCATTCAGAACCACAAAAAAAATGTGTGAAATTTTGTTCGAATTCAAAATAACTGATTTCTTTTTTTAATGTTTTTAATATTTAATATATGTAATTTATTCCTCTGATGGCAAAGCTGGATTTTCAGCAGTCATTACTCCAGTCTTCAGTGTCACATGATCCTTCAGAAATCATTCTAATATGCTGATTTGTTGCTCAAGAAAGATTTATTTTTATTAGTGCTGTCAAACGATTAATCGCATCCAAAATAAGTTTTTGTTTACATAATATATGTGTGTGTACTGTGTATATTTATTATGTATATATAAATACACACACACACACAGTATATATATTGAAAACAGTTGTGCTGCTTAATATTTTGTGGAAACTGTTCGTTGATAAATAGTAAAAGTTTGAAAGAATAGCATCTATTTGAAATGGAAATATTTTGGGATATTATAAATGTCTTTGATGTTGCTTTTGATCAGTTTAAGTCCTTGCTGAATACAAGTATTAATTTCTTTTTTTTTTAAAAACACTTACTGACCCTGAACTTTTGAATTATTACTTATTATTTATTAAAATCAAATGACCATTTAAAGTCTCTCTCCTTTTTTTTGGCTTCAGATATAATAACTACAATAAAACGGTAGTTTTTGTATCTGTTAGTATAATATGGGTTATTTCATGTTTGGACAGTGATACTACACAAAAAAGTGCTCTGTGCTAGCTCACTATGAATGTTTTGAAGCGTTGGTACTTCAACTCCTCCATACGCTATCTGAACACTTCTCTTCCTCACTTCACCTCCTCTTTCTCTCCCACTCAGGAACAATTCACAGCAATGAGGGACCTGTACATGAAGAACGGCCAGGGCTTTGCACTAGTATACTCTATAACAGCACAGTCCACCTTCAATGATCTGCAGGACTTGAGAGAACAGATTCTGCGGGTCAAAGACACGGATGATGTGAGTCTTGTCCAGCACTCCATTTCATCTACAGAATCTCAAACTGTCTGCTGCCCTACCTTTAGTTTTCATCTCACCCTGTGCTTTGATAGTTTCAGTACCAGTATCTCCTTTTTCACACCCACTCTGAGCCCTCATGCTTGCCATCGTCAGTAAGGGTGACCTTTCAGCTGTGAAGAGGCTCGTCTTTGTTGACATAAGAACAGAGTTTTTCTCTTTTTGTCCACCTCTCTCTGTTTGACAGTTCTGGTTGGGCAAGCAAACAATTTGGTAGCTGAGTTTACTTAATGTTTATTTTGATTGCAGAAATGTTATCGCTGGAGGTCGCTAATAGGCATAATGATAATGTTTTTTTGTTGTTGTTGTTGTTGTTGTTGTTGTTGTTTTTTCAAAACCATATGAAAATAACATTAATCATACTCGATCATAATCATACTCACTCAGAATCAACAACTTTAATTGATAATGATTGACTTCCTATTGCAAAAATAACTATGTGAGAACCTCCCTTAAGATATAGTGTCTTTTGTCACTAGGCTTATATTGAATTGCGGCCAAGTTTGTTGAGAGGAAATGAATCCGTGTGTGTGTGTGTGTGTGTGTGTGTGTGTGTGTGTAAGAACTCATTCTAAACGGTTTCTGAGAAAGATGATAGTGTGACGACCTCAGTTGACCCGCACTATTTCTGTCCACTTCCTCAGCTCAGCTGATTTAACACAGGACGTTTCAGTTATTTATTCTGCCTGGGCTACTTGCTTTGTTTTTTATCGTTTACGCAATATGTCAGTTTCCTTGTTGGTTTGAAAGTATCTGCTGAAAATAAATGCAAATGCTGTGTCTCATAGTTTCACTTCTGCTATGATATCTGGACTCTCGGTTGAAAAACTGAGAGTTGTGTGGGAGTTTTTAGCTGCATTTATGGAGTTGTATGCAAATATGAAGGCATCTAGAGCCTCAAAATGACCAAAGGGATTTCGTCCATCTCTTTTTTTTTTTCCCTCTTTTAACCTCTTTTTTGCAGTATCTTTTTCAGTTAAGGAATTACGACAACTGTGGCCCCCTAAGAATGATTTCTGTTTTCTAATATAGCAGCACAGTTTCTGCTAATGCCTCTAAATAGCTCCCTAGATGAAAAACAAATAGAGACGCATGGAAATGATGACGATGTAAATTTATATTTTAACTGTTGTTTTTTTCCCCATTATAATCTAATCCGTTACTTTATTACTTCTAGTGGTGTGCTGATGAATTGTCACTTCTTCTCAAACAGACAATGACTTTTTTGTTCTAATCCCTAAACCATTGTATTATCACTTGATTTCTATAAGGCATCCTTAAATGACTCATTTAAATCTGAAAACTCAATGGAAGTGTTTCCTTTCAGGTGCCGATGATCCTGGTGGGTAATAAGTGTGATCTGGAAGACGAGAGGGTGGTCGGGAAGGAACAGGGCCAGAATCTCGCCCGTCAGTGGAACAGCTGTGCTTTCCTGGAGTCCTCTGCAAAGTCCAAGATTAACGTCAATGAGGTGAGCATGACTTTATGCTACAAAAAGTCACAAATCTCATGTTAAAGCAGAGTTTTTACAATGTAAGACCCTATTCAAGGATTTATTTATAAGAGTACATGGCTACTTTTAAATTGACTTTTAAATGGTGTAGCTGAAAAAACAAAAATTGGTGTATAAACAATTTTCACTAAGGAAAATTCTTGGAAATTTCACAATTAATTACAAAGAAATGGCAACACATTGAATTAAACGTGACGTTTGACGTTGAAATGGAATTTTCTGGTAAAACATACTCCAATCTTTGTTTTTATCATAACTTCAAAAAATGCTTTTTTACATTGTGCGGCATCTACCAGCAGGGGCAGTTTTTATATTAAAATATAATATAAGAATAATTTCTGTATAAACTAACATTTGTATAAAAAATCTCTAACCTTAAAATTATTATTATTATTATTTTATTATTAAAATTAATTAGAATCTAATAATTTAATGTAAAAAATTAAATTAAATAAACATTTATTTTGCACAGTTTTATATTTTAGTATAAACTTATTTATTTTTGTTACCATGATCACTGAACACACAGATCTGTTTTTCTTACTGTAAACTGTTTACTGCAGAATACTCTTATATATGTTTTTGCATTATTTGTCTTAATATTTTCATATTTAAATCTGGGAATTGAGAGGTGAATCTAGAGTGGTGTTTTTTTTTATCTTAGGTAAAGTTACATTCAGTAGGCTGTGTATGGGCATTATCTTTTCCCCAGTCTTTTCAGTTGGGGTCAGGCTTCGGTTGTCTTCTGACATGCCTGTGCTGGCGTCACCATGAAGCTGCTCTTCTCTGCTGAGGTCTCAGAACAGTGTCATTGTCAGCTAGTGATATCTCTCCAAGAAAGCGTAGTCACACATTAGCAAAGCAGGCAGTCAGCTGCAACAGTCGGACACAGAGCTTCCTTTTGTGAGCAGCACGACTGCCTACGTGACATAGAGCTGCTTTGAGTTCAGTCAGTTAGAAAATCCAGTTGGTTATAGCAGAATGACTGGTATGACGGTGTTCACTTACTTCTCCTTACAAGCTGAGTGATATGAAACCCCTGTACTAGTCTGGAGTCAGTCTTGTAGTTTATTAGAGGTTACTGGAGGGCAGAAGGTGATGATTTGAAGTCTTTATCACGCTTGGGCATTGCTCCAGGATTATTCATTTACTTGTGTCAAAGCGCAGACCTGCGTCATCATTAAAGTCTCAGACTCTCCCGTAAGCGAAATCCAGATACTGATTTAATGGATCTTCGGTTGGAGCTCTCTCAATAAGATAATGAGGAACTTCAGTTGCGAGTGACCACAGTGGAACTGATTCATCACTCTCCGTTAATGCAGCCAGAGTGATTTACTTTTCACAAGCTATCATGTTTCTTCTCAGTCACAAGATCCAACAGGCGCTTTTTCTTATTTTTGAAGCCCAAAATGACTAAAAATCCACTAATAACCACTATACAATTAATAGCAGTATATAGGAAACAACACGTCTGTAAATATTTTAGTTCAAAATAACTGATTTGCTTTACTATTCTGAAAAAAAAAAGAGATCTGTGTGTTCAAAGAGTGATCGTGGTGACATTTTTAGTAAAATATTACTTTTTACTAATTACTTTAGATAATTTGATTCACATCTCTTTATTCAGCACGTTCCAGATAGGCTGTTATTCAACAACAGTTGATCCTGTTTTCATTGGTGGATCAAAATACATTTCAAGGGATTTAGGCAAGTCCATTTGCTCTGTTAGTCTGCACAAGTTTGCTACTTTGTGCTGATTGTCAAAACCTTTTTGTAAGGTGCATCCTGTACTTCTGAATTTGTTTATCTGGCGTTACTGAGATCATCTGTTATGTACAGCAAAGAATGGATTATGAGCTTATCCTTCTCAACTCGCATCCCAAATCTGCCTCTCTACACAACACATGGTAGCAGAAATCTTATTACAAATCCTGCTATATTACCAGTGTCGGTTAACATCAGTAGCAAACATGCCATTGTGTTTCTGTCTGCTACAATAGCTTATCTCAGGTCATTGTGTAAAAGCTGCAGATGTTGTGTTGAACTGATTGATGATGCAGGAGCTGGTTTTTCCCTCTGGGAGCTGAACATCTGTGTGTGGAAGTGTCCACACCTCTGACTGAGTGATTTCTCTCTGTTTTAGTCTAGAGCAGTAGTACTCGACCCATTTCAGGAGCCAAGTAGACATATTACATTTGTTTGTAAAAGCCACATTTTAAAAACACCATATGAGTTGGAAGCTTGGTTTTGTTTTCGTTATGATTCTCATTTTATTGCCACAAAGCAGACAACATGTGATGTCCACATATCATTAGACATGCAAATAAAATTAGTATAAAGTTAACTCCCATTGGTTAGTAGGGGTGTGCCATGGTGACTTGACTTATTTTAACCTCTTAAGACCCTGCGGCCTCATATGAGGACATTATATTTTTGTGAATTTCTCTGAGACTGTACATGCCACAGTTTTAAGTCTGGATGTCCTGTACAGAGCTCATTCACAGTCCTCATAGGAGGACACTGGGACTAAAAGCATGTTTATTACGCATTTTTGGAGACATAACAAATGAACAGGGAAAGAAATTATATTTCTATATTCTATGAAATATTATATATTATTATGAAAATCTTGTCAATTATTACTCCCATTATTACACTTGTTTTTTCATTACATGTTGCCCCAAAAACACATTAATATGCTAATTAAATTTAGTTTAAAGATACATTTTATATAATGAGGAAACCTGTTTATGGCCATTTTACACACATTTTGCAGAAATAAAAATAGTATATTGAATCATTCTGTTATAACATAGTTGAGAATCATCTTTATACAAAGTTTGATTAAAAAAAAATCTTGAAAACTAAAAATGTATTGGTGATTTAAAAAATAAATTGTTTTTGCCTATGCATGTTCATTCATGTCTTTTTATTTTTTTAAAGAAATTGAGTCCCGATGTCCTCTACTGAGGACATAGCATAACTTATGAATGAAATATCTTTTTTTAATATATATATTTTTTTACATGATTTTTAATGCTCTAAACAATGTAAAGACATGGAAAAAACTAACTTTTTCCTCGGGTCTTAAGAGGTTAATAGTGAAAGTTATTACAACTGAAAAGCCAACATGAAAGCTGTTTGTGTTTTACTTCAGGAATGTAACACATTTATGCAGGACAGCCATTGATTTTATCTTTCCATCCATGGGAAATTATTGAAAAATGTGGGTCGTTTAATCATGGTCTCCATATGACAGGTTTATTGTTTTGGTTTGGTTTTTTGTTTTTGTTTTATAAATAATTGTTGAAACTGTAAAATTACTTTGATTGAATTGCACTGAATAGCAAAAATGTCAGTAATTTCATGTTGAAACCGTTATGGAGCTGAAGTGACACTTTAAAGTACAGGTTGACTACCAAATACCTAGACTGTCATCATGAGAAATGGTGAATTCTGAGACACATCTAGTCTGGTGGCACATGTATGAATTCACTGACAATTGCTTTTGTGTGTGTGTGTATGTGTGTGTGTGTGTGTGTGTGTGTGTGTGCAGATCTTCTATGACCTGGTCCGGCAAATCAACAGGAAAACTCCAGTACCTGGAAAGGCACGCAAAAAGTCTACCTGCCAACTGCTCTAATATACAGCTGTTCTTTTGCTCTGAGCCAGGTAGGATCTCAATTATGATTGGCTGAGCAGAAATGATTGACAGCTCATCCCAATCAATGTTCTAAAGCCCTTTTTTAGAAGCTTTAGGTTATAGAAACTGTTGAAAAATGGGTTATGTTTAGATCTAAAAGTAATTGCACTTTTATTCCACCCTTTTTTTTTTTTCTTCCTGTCTTCCTGCAGGTCTGATTTACTGCTGTCTTTCAGCAGTGCCAGCATTCCGACGTTACTAAAACCTAACATCGAATGGACTTTCCTATGTGGTGATGCCCCTTTAATAAACCAACCAACCAACCGACCGACAACCAACCAATGGATTCAAGGCTACAGTACCATGACAGTTTTTTGCACATAGATAACCATCATCACTTTCCAATGTCGCGAGAAAGAGATTTTTACATATAAATATATATTCTAACTGTATGCAACTGAATAAAAAAAATTTAATGAGTAAACGAATACAGAGCTAGACAAAAAGAATTTAAAAAAATACAGAGCCTACACGCAGTGTTATCGCTAACAGAGACAGCACCGTTGTAAATGTAAGGAGGGAATGTCTAACCAGGCTGTGCACGTTGCCATGGCAATTACAATGATATTTATAAGCACCACTATTTTAGCCAGAGAGGAGAGGAAGTCCAAAGAGCTCCTATATAAACCATTCTTACAGCTAACTTTCACTCCTTTTTTTTTTTTTTTTTTTTAACCATCATCACTTTCCAATGTCGCGAGAAAGAGATTTTTACATATAAATATATATTCTAACTGTATGCAACTGAATAAAAAAAATTTAATGAGTAAACGAATACAGAGCTAGACAAAAAGAATTTAAAAAAATACAGAGCCTACACGCAGTGTTATCGCTAACAGAGACAGCACCGTTGTAAATGTAAGGAGGGAATGTCTAACCAGGCTGTGCACGTTGCCATGGCAATTACAATGATATTTATAAGCACCACTATTTTAGCCAGAGAGGAGAGGAAGTCCAAAGAGCTCCTATATAAACCATTCGTACAGCTAACTTTCACTCTTTTTTTTGTAACTTTGTTTTGCTTTTATTCTAAACATGATTTGTTTATCTTCTGCCTTTTTTCTCTTTTATAAAATTACTAGATTTTTGCTCTATGGAGATGTTATATTCACAACCGCTATTGATGAGTTTTACCTTAGGAAAAACCTGTGGATACAGTGATGTACATGTAAAAAGTTCAAAAATATACTTTTTTTTTTTTTCTGTCACTATCATTGTCCTTAGCCTCAGATGTTGCCTTCAAATACGTGTTGATACCTTTTTCGTGTCTCTTTTTTTCTTTATTTTTCCTGAGGATTCATTTCCATGATCTTAGGTCCATCTCATACGCCACGCCGGGTTTCTTTGTTTTGTTTACAAAGAACTTTGTACAGCAGGCTTTTTTCAAAAAGGGGTATTAAAAAAATAAGGGGTTTGACGATTTAGCTTTAGTATCCATCTGAAGTTCATATTTTTGGTGGTCTCACAATAAATAGTCAAATCCCTCTTGACAAAGCAGATCCTGATCAAATGGAGGACATGTATACAGTATATTTGAAAGAATTGGTTTTTTTTAATACACAGGAACAACAAAATGTACAACAAACTATCTGCCCTTCTCCCCTTGCTTGCTGATGCATCTGGTGTAAACTGAGGATATGAAAACCAAATATTGGATCCTGTCAGTAAAGAGTGAGGAAAACATGTCTGTTAGTGACTGTTTTGACTGTGTAATAATTTGCCCTGTTTTCTGTCTTCGTTACTGTTGGATTAACTGAATGTGGGGGTGTGGGGACTTTGTGTTGAGCGAGAAAAAAATGGGAAGAATTGATAAAAAAAATTAAAATAATTAATTGTACATCGTGTAATCATAAAGAGTGTTCATAAAGGAGCCGAATGCGCTCTGTAAAGCAGTTCGATACTGGTCTCTTTAAACATCGAAATGACTCTTTACAGGGTGCAGCATGCGGTATGTACACATAATGAATCGTTTATGAGTGCTTTGAGGATTTGCACTGTGTAAAGTGAAGAACACGACTCCTAGGGAGTGTCCGAGCAGCAGCGGACACCGGTTAACATTACGAGTCGTGTGTTGTTCTGATTGCTGCAAGCAAATGCCTTGATGCTTTTTAAGTTTTGAGGGGAAAATTGAATTAAAAAAAAAAACATAAAAATTGACCAGGATTGAGACAGAGGTGCAGTACTTCAAATGCAACATCGTCTGCTTCTGATGGGCGGCGGCTCAAGGGTGGATACAAGTGTCAACTTAAAAGCCTTAATTAAAAGTGGTGCAATTTTGTATAACCGAGCATCTGTAGTTTAATAAATTGGATTGCCATGCAAGGGCTCCCAAGAAGCCAGTTTTTGCCACTTGAATGTTTTGTGTATTGTTTCAGCATCTTCTGTCAGTCCAATAAAAACAAAACCGTTCAAGTTACTCTCTATCATGATGACAACGTTTGCTACAAAGGTATTATTATCTGTTTCAGACTTATCGGAACTGGAGGGGGGAGGGGGGAACAGGATGACATCTTTCACCTCCCAGAAACATAATGGATGGGTTCTGGCAATATGGTTTTCTGCGGACGAAAAATAATGCTCTTGTATACTTGTACTCCAGTGCTTTATCCACTGATGATATGTTCAGATGCTATCTGCTGTCTAACCTATGATTTCAGACCTTGCTTCAGAATACACCATCATTTAGTAGCATATGTCACTAACAATTTACAATTAATTCAAAATAAAAACAAACATATTATGTAGCCTACGTGGCACAAGATTAGTTAGGTCTTATTTGTAGACAAACATATGTATATATAGTATGTAACATATGTAGTTTGCAAAAATTCAGAGCAACATTTTCATACATCGTGTGTGTGTGTGAGTGTGTGAGAGACCCTGGACCACAAAATCAGTCATAAAGGTAAATTTTTGGCCGAGATACAACTATTTGGGAATCTGAGGGTGCAAAAAAAATCAAAATATAGAGAAAATCGCTTTTAAAGTTGTCCAAATCGAATCCTTAGCAATGCATATTAATAGTGATAATACATTTTTTATATATTTATGGTAGGAAATTTACAAAATATATTCATGGAACATGATCTTTACTTAAAATCTGAATGATTTTTGGCATAAAAGAACAAGTTGACCAAAAGTGGTTATGTTGTCACTTTAAATATTTTATTTCAGACTATTGAATGACTTTTCAATTAAATTTAAACAAGAAATCACCATGAAAACTGCAGAAATCTAAAATGCAACACTGGCCAATATAATATTAATATCAAACCATTATTTTGTCAAACAGACACTGTAATCAACTTAAAAGTGTAACATCTAAAAAAAAAAACGTATCCTCCTGACACTTAGCAACGACCATATATTTCATATATTTTAATATTTTATATTTTGAGGGAGATATAAACCTCCAGTACACGAGACAGCGCTGTGCTCTTGTTTGTTTACCAGACTACATCCGATATACGAATAGAAGAAAAATACATGATGACCGCCAATAAACACCAAAGAAGAAGAAAAATACATGACATGTGGGAAACACAGGACTGCTGCTGTAGTTTTAAGAAGGATTTTGACTTTCTAAACGTTTGATATAATCTAATAAAAGCATGATATCGCAGAAACACGTGTGACACAAGTGCGCGTTGTTTTTCTGCGTGGTTTGCATTCGACCTCCGCTCGCAGTAAGAGTGCATTCTGAAAAAAATATGTGTTGAATTTCATTTTAACAGAAACTGTTTTATCATGAATCTCCGCGTTACTCTCGGGTGTTGTAGTAGAGTTCGTTTGTTTCGGAATAAGGCGACTGTCTACCTTTGCAGAAGACTGTCAGATGTTCCCATCTCACCTGATGACAGTCAGTGCAGCACTGATGAGAAGCCCAGGAGAACACGGAGAGCTCCGGCGAAAGCGTCTGTCCTTCTGTTCCCCGGGCAGGGCAGTCAGTTTGTCGGTATGGGAAAAGGACTCCTGAAGTATGGAAATGTCAAAGAGATGTTTGCTGTAGCTGAGAAGGTGCTTGGCTATGACCTGCTGTCTCTGTGCTTAAATGGTCCCGAGACAGATCTGATGAAGACTGTTCATTGCCAGCCAGCTGTGTTTGTTTGTTCACTGGCTGCTGTGGAAAGACTGAACCATGAAAATCCTGCTGTAAGTTACCCACAAGATCAGTCTACAGCCAATCTGTTAGGACTGGCAGTGTCATGCATGTATGATTAATATGTGGTCAATATTAATGTCAAACTCATTGACCCCCATCTAAAGGCTATTGAGAGCTGTGTGACTGCAGCAGGTTTCAGTGTTGGTGAATTTGCTGCTTTGGTCTTCTCTGGTGCAATGAACTTCGCTGAAGGTAAAGCTTGTTATTAAACATACTAAATTAGTTATTTAAATAGCATTTTTACAAGTGTGAAACATACCCGGATCACATTTATCCTCTTTTTGTTTTTTGTTTTACATTTAGTTTTTTTATTTGAATATTTTTAAAATTGTATTGTGCATTAAGTAAAAAAATACCTATTTATTTGTATCATGACACTTGAGCACATTTTAACTCTACAATCTTGTAATTAGTTAAGACATTTCACTGTTATTGTTAACTAAAAACTAAAACAGACTATTACAAAGTCATTTTTGTTAACTGAAGTAAAGCTGACATAAAATAAAAAAAATATTAGATGACAAACTTAAAAACTTAAAACTGAAATAAATGTATTTATATTTCAGTTTTAGTAATCTTAGTACTTCAACTTATTTTAAGTTAAATAGAATTTAAAAAAAGAATCAAAATGGCAAAAGCACAACAAAATGGCTAAAACCTTAACTAAAATGATATAGCCTATATACACACACACACGTATATTATTCTCATTATTATTAGTATTATTATTATTATCACCATTATTCTCAAAGATAATTTTCATTACAAACAACTATTAATTTTATTTATTATTATAACTTCTAAATCAGCATAAATTAAAGGCAGTATAATAAATACTATCATGATGTTTGAGTACATCATACATATTGTTTTTATCATCATAGTAATGAGTAATTAGTTTTTTTTTCAATACAGTAAGAAGCATTGTAATAACAATTACCTCATATTCCACAAAGTCTCAGCATGCCTAAAAGTAGTCTTCTTTTTTATGCAAAATATTATTTCCTTTTTTTGGGTGGGGTAAAATGTAACCTGAACATCTTACTGACAGTTATTAGAAGATTCACCCACATTAATTTATCATAATGGTCCTGTTCTCTGCTCACAGCTTTGTTTGCAGTAAAGGTGAGGGCAGAGGCGATGCAGAAGGCCTCTGACCTAGTATCTAGTGGCATGTTGTCTGTGATTGGCCAACCTCAGGCCAAGTACAAATACGCCTGCGTCCAAGCTAGGGAGCACTGTTTGTCTCTCGGTATCCAAGAGCCTGTGTGCGCCATTGCCAACTACCTTTTTCCAGATGGGAGAGTAATAGCTGGCCACAAAGAGGTAAGAATCGATACAAAGAGCTTTGTTCATGTGAAATATTTTAGGTGTGTTGTTTTGTCTATTGAAGTTGGGTCAACTTTTCTGAATCATTTACAATAAGACCAGAAATATGCTTTTTTTTTTTTTAAAGTACATTTTGATTTCATGTTGATTTTCTGAAAAGATGAAGTCCAGACTGTTAA